TCATATTATTTCAATATTCCTGATCAAGATGGAGACCTTTATTACATATATATATTAAATATTATATATAGAATTACAATTTTTGGCAAGATGATAATTCATGAAGTACAATTAAACAAAGTTACCAAAAATTAACAAATAAATACCAAGATGTCTATCAAAAAAGTTACATGACTTCAACCTCAGCAAGTCATATGATTGAATAATTTGCTCAAAATGAGTTGCAGCTAATCGCTAACAAACCTGACGCTAGCAGTTTGTATGCATTTTGACAAGTTTTGAAGTAATTCATTAACTAAAATTAGTCACAGCGTCTACAACTTTTATTTCTATTTTGCGCCAATATTCCCAGAAGTGACGATTCGGTTCTCCTGAACAAATGTTACTGTTTTTGCAATATTCTTTCTTCTGTCTAATAAAAAAAAAAAAAAAAAAAAAAAAAAAAAAAAAAAAAGTCTGTTTTTTGGGGTCAATAATATTTTTGGACTTTATTAACTTTCATTATATGGATAAAAACAGTCAAAATATCTTTTCACATTCTACAACAGAACGAAAATTTGGTTTGGAATGAAACTTGAAGGGTTCAATTATAGGTCCAATGAAGGGTTCAATTATAGGTCCAATTCTTTTCAGTTTATACATTAATGATTTACCATCTTTGTGTAAAAACTGTGACACCTTGATGTATGCAGACGACACTGCTGTCTTGGCCTATGGAAAATCCACAGAGGAAGTTGCCTCAAAACTTACAGAGGCCATGTCACTGATCTCAACCTGGCTAGAGCAATCCTGTCTGCAATTGAACATATCCAAAACAGTAGCCATGTTTTTTTTCAAAAAATAATATAAATAGAAACCTGAAATTGTAATATCTGGAGAAAGATTACAGGTCGTCACAGAATATAAATATTTAGGACTACATATAGACTCTAAACTCAACTTCAAAACTCACATAAAAAAAGTTAGTAATAGGATTAAGTTCAGTCAAGCGAACTTGAGATTCATTAGAGACTTTCTTTCAACAGAAGCTGCTAAATTATATTTCTTTTCTATGATTTTATCCCACATAACATATTGTTTAATAAGTTGGTCCAATACTCACTCTACAACAATAAAACCATTAAAAACATTATACAAACAAGCATTACAAATACTGGATAAAAAACCATACCACTACCACCACTGTAGTATTCTGAGGAAATATCAGTTACTAACTTGGGATAATCTAATTAAATTCAAAAACATCTGTTTAATTTATAAAATCAGACATGGTCTAGCACCTCCTCCACTATTTGACTTTATACTTTTTAGATCAAGTGGGTAACCAGAGGGGCAGTGAGGGAAGACTGCATTATCCCCCGGAGAAAAACAGCTTTTGGTCAGTCTGTTTTTTCCGTAAGAGCAGCAAAGCAATGGAACACAGTGCCTGAAAACATCAGAGAGTCTTTGTCATTCTTTTCATTCAAAAAGAACGCAAAAAAATGGCTTGTAGAGAGCCAAACTTGTAGGCACTAATGCTTTCTGTGTACACTTAAACATTGTGTATTTATTTTTTGATCTTGAATTGTAATTTTTAACCATAATGTGTTGTATGTAATTTTATTTTTGTGATTTTATACCTGTGGTTATTTTTAAGGTTGCCTTTTTTACACCTGGCTGGGGGACTACCGATGAAAATTAGCACCTCTGAGCTAACTCGGGTACATTTACATTGTTTCAATGTTTATTAATGTACACTGTCCCCTTTCAAATAAAGAGAAAATGAAATGAAATGAAATGAAACGAGAGTGAGTAAATGGTGACAGAATTTTTGAGTGAACTATCCCTTTAATGTAAAAAGACTACACAGTTCCTTGCTTAGGTCTCAGACACACATTAGCATATTCATGCCATTGACTACTTGCTACTCAATAACTGAATTTGATCAGAGGGGTGTGTAATGAAGGTTTTAAGCGCAAAAAACATAATAAGCACAAGCTTAATTAAGCTTAACCATAATATCTCTCTATTCAATGGAAGCTATCAGTTCATGAAAGCCATAATGTAGCTGTCAGTGATTATCATAAGAGATGTTCTTCTTTAATAATGATGAAAGCAGGCGAACCCCCCCCCCCCCTTTTTTTATTAGGGTGTCCAATTCTGTGTCCATATTAAAGCTAATAAAACAGCTCCTTCATTGTAATCTGCAGGAGGAACAGCAGCCAATAGAACATCAATTACCCTGCGGCAGATTCAACATCTAAGGGTATTTAAGTAAAACAGATGAGGATCGGATCACACTGTGAGCCAGATCTAATGCCGGCTCAATACAGAGAAAATAACACACTCTTATCTACCTTCTTGAGATGTAAATTGATTTATTAACAAGGCATCTCTTTGAAGCAAGGGAAATGGATTGATGCTAAGCAGTCGTGTTTGATTTTCACTTTAATAAAGCCTGTATATTTTCACAAGATGTAGAGCTGTATTGTAAAAACACTCTTCTTTCACACTTCTGAATGTTGCCACATTGTTTAAGACGTGAGAAAAATATTATCTTTACTAAGGTACAGCATGTCTAGCAGCGTCTGCTCCGGAGTTATTCAGATAATCACAGAGCTTATTGGAAAGCTACAAGATTCAGAGTGCCTACAACCACAATAATGCACATCAATAACTGGGTTTCCATCCACGTACTTTATGCAAATTTTGGGATATTGCATTAAAATTCTGGGTGGAAATATAAATATAAGAATCTTAATACAATAAAAAAAAAAAATGTTGCGCCTTAATGTATACACTTGCTTGAGATGGATGGATTTGGAAAATTGCAGGGGTCGGTAACCTATGGCAATGTTGGCACACTGAGGGATAATTTCTGACACGTGACAATAAGGTGCATGTATTTAATTAAAATATAGTCCCTCAAACTTGCATATGGATTACGGACGTACATTTTGAGGTAATCAATCCCCATAGTCACACAGCCTGTTTTAAGTTAGGAGCTATAAAATGCTATTAAAGTGTAAGATTTTAACCTGCGCTAGCATGCATATCCAACAAACCATTTGTGTTACTGAAGGTGCGCGCTTCCGTGATTATCCCTTCATGTCCCATAATGTTGCCGCTCCCCTGTTATATTATATTAAAAAAATAGGAAAGATGATATGCGTGCAAACCACATTGAAAACATTTACTGAAATTGTGACCATTCAAAATTAATCAATTTGTTATTTATTAATTGTAATACATAAAATATCATATTTAAAATTTCATGAATGCATATTAAATGAAAAAATTAAATCACATTTTACTGATGCCATGGAACAGAAAAATTTGCTTAATTTTTGCTGCTGATCGCCAGCAAACATGAAGAGTTTTGTCTGCATTTGTAGTGTTTTAAAGAAAGTGATTGATAAAATAATAGGGCCACAGTGGCTACAACTTTCATTTCTATTTTGCACCAATTTCTCCGGAAGTGATGATTTTGTTCAACACATCGAAATGCTGCTTTGAGTGGGGTATGAAGTTTTTTGCTGATAAACAAAGGGGGAAGCATGTCTCTGATGTTGCGAACCACAAAAACTTAGAATCAGTCAGCAGACAAGCAGATGTGGAAAGTCAGCTGATGTGCAGAGGCGTGTATGAATAATATTGAAAAATGCCACCATCAAAAAACAAACGATGACATGCTTCTCTGCACGGGCCTGAAACTTCTCGATTTCTCTTCATCCTGTCACTAAATGCTAACATTTCAATTGCCATTGTCTGTTGAGATGTTTATTTCTGAAGCAAAATCAGGGTAAAGGCTCGTATGTCAAAGATTCCCTTTTCTCTGAGCCCTAAATCAACATGACGTGTGTGAAATCAGAGAAGAGGTACTCACAGTGTGTGACAGTGCTTGCCATTTATATATTTACTCTGTGCGATGCAAGCTCTCGCCCCCTCCTCTATCTCCCTGGCTCACGAACTGCTCCTCCTCTCTCTCTCGCCCATGCACACTATCTCTCCCTCCCTCTCGTCTCGTCTCTCTCTCTCTCTCTCTCTCTCTCTCTCTCTCTCTCTCTCTCTCTCTCTCTCTCTCTCTCTCTCTCTCTCTCTCTCTCTCTCTCTCTCTCTCTCTCACTAACTTACTCTGCTGCCAGAATCTGCTTTGCATTCCAGTCACGTCGATCGCACCTTGAGTGATCCTGGAAGACAATTATTCATACTGAGACGAAACACATTCAGGCGGATAGCACTGCATTTGAAAAAAGATAAGCCACTTCAATTATTTAAGCATGCTGTTCCTAAACTCACATTTACTTTGCTTATGAATTCACATTTACCCCCCCGCCCCCCTCATGTACACTTTTGAATATGAGACGAGAAACACTACTATTACATTTGCATTTCCCTGCTATTCAGAGAGATAACTCGTATTGTTTTGACGTGTTATGTACAAACAAGGCCAATCAGTGTTTCCACATTCTGAGACTAGAGGGGAAGGTGATCCAGTATTTATGAGCGGATGCAGCGCGGTATAATTGAGCGTAATGCCGTGCCGGATCCTCACACGGTCTAATGAAGCTAACAAGGTGGGTTCCTCGACAAAGGCACCTGCTAGCCCTGCCCAGTACACCGACAGAATTGAAAGCAGCCCCTAAGGATTTCTTTCTCTCCTCCCAAGAGCATTCTCAAAATTCAATAAATAACATCTGTAGGCGATGTTGGGTGCAGACCTGGGAGGAATGCGTCATAACAGAAAAGGAGGGGGACGAGAGAGAGAGAAAGAGGAGAAGAGAATGTGTGAGAGTAGGGGAGAAAATGTGTTTGTGTGTGTGTGAGAAAGAGAGAGTGTGTGAGCCGGAGTGCTGGCTGAACAAAGAAACCATGACGACTGCCAGGTTGCTATGGCGACCACTGCAAGGGGGCCAAGAGAGTATAATAGCACATCAATCACTGTCCGAAAAAGAACTTCATTATCAGCTGAAAAATAATCCTTTAGGATCTGTTTAGTGTGTGATCCTCCATCCACTCACCTCAAAGCCTTGTTCTCGCGCAAACGTGGCAGCCTCCTGCAAAACAAAGCACATATGCAGCCTTAATTAATGGGAGCTTAGTGTAGCAATGATATTATTTCATTTAGGGCACATTTCAAAGCTCTGCGTTAGGCTATGTAGAACAGGACATATCACTTTCAGTTCTTCTTCCAAAACCAAAAATAAATATTTTGACGTGTCACAATGTATCCATAGTATGTGTATCATATTGTGAGGTAGTTGGCGATACGCAGGCCAGCATTGAGGCTCGTCCACACCAAGAACAACAACTAGCATCCTCACCAACCCATGATAACAATTCAAGCTTTTTAAAGTCAGACGCATTATGATTGGCTTCATCAATCATGAGCTGGAAAGAAACATTCTGAAAGTCGTGACTTTCCTACTCTCATAGAATTACCATGAATATTAAAACTTTATAAGTATCATCTTTGGTGTGAACAGGCAATTTGTGCACATTCAAGCAAGACATATCTTCAAACTTGTATTGATGAATAAAACAGCTTTATTTTAGATAATAAAAGGGCTTTGTGAGGGTTAAAAGATTCCAATTATGTGTGCTGGGCTTTGCCCTTTGCTCAACTGAACAACTCTAGGGAGCATTTGTGACAACCTCGGCCTTTAGAGGGGAAGAGGGGGTGGAAAGAACCAGTGCTTCATGGATGTAAGGGGCCGAGACCACCTGCAATCTGCCTGTCTGTCACAGCCACTGCATAATAGACCCAAGACATGTACATTAATCTATAATAGACCATCTGACATCACTCAAAACTCTCCAACCTGGCATTTAGCTGTTTGTATTTGGTTCCAGTCTGAAGATTTTCCCTTTTCCGGGACACAGAGCTGCAGCTACACCCATGTTTGTGTTCACTGCACAGAGGTCAAACGCTCCAAGGTTAATCTTTGCGCCATAAAGTTGGGGAAAAACTCAAATCCCCATGGAGATAACCCACCACTAGGTTTCATGACACCAATTACAGCTCAATGATCTGATAATGCAGCCATCCAGCAGCCAAGGTGAGCCACTCTTTTATTAAGAGTGATTAAGCAGCCTTATTTCAAGATTAGCTCCAGGAATTAGTTAATGCAACCCCACTGGAAAACTGTAATAGACCCTCTTCACTAGGCAAGACTATGGAAATACTGGACTTATAATAAATCTACACTTTAAAAAGTCACTCAATTAGCACAATAGACTAACCAGAACCATAACTAAGTCTTTGTGTTCCATAATTAAAAAGAGGAGAGAGACTAATGTGAAATGACAGGAGCCAATCTGTAAGAAGATTAAACATGTTAAATCACACAAGAATCCATTGACTTCCAATTATACTTGAACAAAAAGACATTTTGCATTATTATTTGGAAACAGATTTCCATTTGCAAACAGATTTCCCAAATATTTCCCCATTTGCTTTGGTCAGTCAGACAGGCAGTCCTGCTCCCAAACTCACAGTATAAAGTGCAACAGTCAGGTTACGCAAATAAAAATCCCATTCGTTTTCTAAATAGGGCAATTGATTTTTAATGACAACTTATAAACATTTAAATACAGACCTACTTTGTGCTACGAGGTCGTTAATTGATGGTGTATGCTTTTTTGTGATTGGCACACATTTTCTCAACTTATTTTTTAAGCAATTGTGTTTAACAGCAGGAATCCTGGTGAAAAACGACATCAATGATTCTGCAGAGAAATCTCCACCAATGATTCATGGAATAGTTATTTCCCCTCATTAAAGCCGTTAAGTACACAGTCTTGTACCTTTGTATTTTTTGTCCGATTTTCAAATACGCCATAGCTGGTTGGTTTGGTTCATGGTTTATAACACTTTAACAAAGACTTTTTAAAAATCCCTATGGGAAAAATACTTTCGGAATACATTCGGAACTAAGGCCGCTGAAAAAGTGGGCATGCAATGCTTCACTCCACTGGATTAACCAGAAGTTTTCATGTCAGGCAACTGAAACAAATGAGCTGAAATGTTTTAAAGGCACCACAGAGCCACGGTGTTGATGCGATCATGACCAAACCAACGAATTGCTAACTTGTTGCGTCTACACTTTAAAATGGGAAAGTACGGTGTACACTTGATATATTTAAACTTTTATAAAAAGAACCCTTACACTCTGCAGTCATAAAAAATAGATCATGAAAGAAGATGGACAGAGAAGAATAAAGGTGGTACATTGGAGGTGAGGAGTGTCAGGGTGAGTTCACACTGACATCTGGTCTGGGTTAGAAATGTGGCCCTGACAGACCGGGCGAGGGAGCGTGCGAGGGCTAACCTCACTGGTTATTTACTTTCATCTCCATTCTGTGCGGCTATCCGTTGTGATGAAGCTCAAAGCAGAAAATTAAGAGAGTATTTCTCTTTGTGAACTGGGCCAGGGGGTTAGCCATGCCAGCTGCAAGTGGAAGGGGTCTAAAGGAGACAGTTCAACAAAATGCACAGCCTGAAAGATGGGCCGAGCTATGAAATCATCAGCTAGCTGAAGGACGAATAAAGAAAAAGAGAACCAACTTGACCACACGGTCATAAGATGTTATTTTTCTCACATTGTTTTTTTGAGCTGGTGACATAAACACTGGTGAACCAGTGGCGTCCCAGACAGAAAGAAAAACAAAGTCACAACTGTTGGTTACTGATGAGGCCAATCACAGAGCAATTTCATTATGTTGTCTCAAACGTCCCACGTATTCCTGCATGAGTCAGGACTGTATGGCCAGTGACTGTACCAGGGGCAGTGCTGTCTGAGGGGGCGGGCAGAGTGTTATTGATACAGTAATCTGGGCAGGGGAAGGGGAAGATTAGACAGAAGAAAGCCAGCACTGCTGAGGTGTTAAAGGTACTCCCATGAGAATGCAGCAGGCCAACTGGAGCGTGACGCGCAACCGACAACAAACCAAAAGAGAGAGAGACAGACAGAGAGACGAACGGGACAGAGAAAGAGAGAAGCTGAGAGAGTGACAAACAAGCTACAGAAGACAGGCCCTTTCGGTGGAAATTTATCTAAAGCCACTAATCCTATACTTACCACCACCAGATGCAATTACTGCTAAAGAGCTGGGAGTAAGCGAAGCCTGTCCTAGACACCACTTTCATTACTGATGACATGTAGCCCAGATATAGCCGCAAACAAAGCTTAAAATTACATCAGGAAATGACTGATAGGCAGCGAACGACAGGCGTAGATCGCTATGCTGCTAACACAAAGGTCACAGTCTGAGGTTGAAAGTATAAAAGGAGCGATACATGAAGTTACTGAGACCACCCCCCACCACTGTGACCTTGAGTAAGACATACATATATATAAATATATAACTACTGGTTTGACCAGGCCTGCAAAAAAAAAAACTTATATTTAGTACAGCACTCTGTATCACAATCACACTTGAGTTTATGATGCTTCGTTTTAGATACCACAGAGATCTGAGAGGTTGAGAAATGCTACGGGCGTGTTCTGTAATTCGCGCTCGAGATGTGTTCTGGTTTGCTGGACGTGACCGTGTGTTGATGCTGTTTAGAGCGTGCAGGATGATGGATGTTGATGTGGCTGCTGATGGCGGGTGTCCAGGTGGACTGCAGACTGCAGAGGCAGTGCGGGTGTGTGTGTGTGTGGACCGGGCCTGCTTTTCCTGTGGTTCACCTCCGCTAACAATCCAGAGGGTACATCATAAAAAAAACCACACTGCCGCAATAATAACAACAAGATCATCAAAACATCCCATCTGGACCATTCAGTGCCCTCCCCCTTAAAAAAAGTATTTGGCCATTTAAACAATTAAAAATGTACAAATGTCTTTAAGTTTATTATATAACAAAATATCCAACCAATCTGCATTTCTTTAAAAAAAATATCAAAATACATTAAAAAAAATTTATGTAATGCAATAACATTCAGACATTTGCAAGGGTCCAAATATGATTTGGGGCCACTGTACTGTTTATGGGTAGAAAGGAGTGTGTTAGAGTTATTATTATTTTAACATGCTGTCATTTTAAGATGTTAATTTAACATTCTTCTTTCTGCCAAAGTGAGTGGAGTGCTTAAAAAGGTATCTCCTACTCTTGATCTGCTTTCCGCCCTTTGATTTAGCTTGCGCGCTGAGAAAGATCTGCCTGAGCTCTCTGCTGAGCACTTCAAACATGTCTCTGTTAAACAATGCATGAGAAGCAATCACTAGCTGTAATGATATCATTACCAGAATCATGAGTGCTGACTGCAGTCTCTCCTGGCCTGTACGCATGGTCTGTTAAAGAGGTGGAGAAACAACAACAAAAAAACAAAAACACCCCCGCCCAGGGCACATGACATGTCCCTCAATGACTGCTTTATTAACGCAATCCAAGTACGTTCCGATCATTTTCAAAGACTGCCATTGTCCGTGCTTCATTGCAGGAATGCAAGTTACCATGTAAACAAGGTTGTGGGACTCTGACAGTAGCTCAAGCTCTTGCATGATTAATACAGGCTAACAGTAAATATAGAGGCCGTACACACACACATTCATCAGCAGGGCCACAGAGTTACAGACTGGTCTGACACACAAATACAGATGAAGAATGACGTGCTGCTTCAGATGAGTCAACAGTGCTTGTTTAATGCAGTCATCCTTGGGGGAACATCCACAAACAGGACAACAAAACCTACTGGAGGAGCTAAAACGGCTCAAAAACAACATTTTGTGCTAAATTCTGACAAGTTACATCATAAATCATTGCTATTCTTACATCATGACTATTACTTCAAGGGACAGTTCACCCAAAAATCCCTTTAATACTTAGTCATGGAAAAGCAAGGAACTTCCTTTTCTTTTGGTGAAACTCTTGACAATGTACACTTTTTTTTGGTCATGGTTTACTTCTACAAGCTTTTAAACGGAGTAAAAACTTAAATTAGAAAAAGACAAATTTATCTGCCAAATGTTGCCCAATTTGAGATTATTGCCATTAGCTGAGTAACAGACATAAATCTATTCAAAATCTACCAACAGACTTTTCAAAGGATAA